CAGAAAATCTGTGGTGGAAATTGAAAAAAAAAAAAAAAAGGTCCACAAGAAGGCTCTGACCTGCTAAGCTGACCTGGCAACTGCTATCAAAGAGAGTTGGAACCAAACTGATGAAGAATACTGTTTGTAACTCATCAAGTCCATACCTCAGAGACTGCAAGCCGTTATAAAAGACAAAGGTGGTGCAACTAAATACTAGTGATGTATTTTGAATGGTCTTTTGTTTACCTGTTTTACATGATCCCGTACTTTTTTACTCAGAATTGAGTGATTCCATTTTTTTTTTACCTGTACTTGGTCAATAAAAGTAACATTCACTGACTTCCACAATGTTTTCTCTTCATTTCTTTGAGTGTTCCTGAAAGCCAACAAGTTGCACTTTGGAATGACCTAATTATTGTATCATGTTTTTGATCTTGAGTTTGTTTTACAGAATGAAATGTCTGAATGAGTGCTCATCCAAGACGGCTGATTCCATACTTTGTGCCAGGGGTTGTAAAACCTATATCAAACTGTTCTAAAAGTCTCTCTACTAAAATATGAGGTTGAATGGTGTTAAAAGCAGATGGAAAATCAATAAATAACAAAAGTGCATGGTAGGGTTGGGCATAATCGTATCGTGTGCAATTAATCGTCAGAAAAACATTCATTGATTTATTTTTGGCACTTGACGATTAATACGATTAATGCCACCTGGCAGACTAACCGCTTGGTGCTCCTCTCTGCTTCAAATATAACAAACATTAAAAAAGTTGTGTAATTTATTTATCTATCAACACAATTTAAAGTTTGATGTATAGATGAAGTCTGTAATTTTGACACAAATTGGAACCGATTTTTACGAAGAGCCAATTTTCTCCCTATAAATTGGTCATGTGACTAGGACATAAGGGTGTCCATGGACTCCGGGGGATTAATCGTCAAATTTATCGTTATCGGCTAAATACCACAATTAATCATGATTAATTTATTTGCCAATATTGCCCAACCCTAGTGCATGGGTTTCCTTTCCTTCAAGATGTTTAAAAATCAGATTCAAAAAGGTGACTGTGGCGTCTTTCACTCCTCTGTGTGCTCTATAAGCAAACTGCAGAGGATCCAGATCACTCTCTACTTTCTTTAAGATTTCAGACCTCACCAGTTTTTCAAAAGTTTTCATCACAATCGATGTTAATGCAATAGGTCTAAAATCATTTAGTGTTTTAGGGCAATTTGTTTTGGGAACAGGGACAACCACGGCATGTTTCCAACATTTTGGAACATGCTGAGTCTGCAAGGATTTATTAAAAATTTGATTTAAAAAAAATTGGGCACAGTTGTTTTGCACAGAATTTGAGCGTCCGACCACAGATGTTGTCAGGTCCTTGGCTTCTGTTAGTGCTTACATTTGAAAAAGCCTTCACGATGTCCACATATTCAAAATTAAAATAACAGTTGTCTTCAAATTTGTGACTCATTTCCTTCATTTCTTTGCTAAAATGAGAAACATCAAAACATGAATAAAAACAGTTAAGAGCATTCGCAAAATCAAAATCTGAGTCAAAATCTTCTAAGGTGACAGTGCTTTGGTTTTTTGGGGTTACCTGTGCCACCTATGGTTTTCATTCTGGACCAGGCAGAGCCAAGCTTATTTGTGGCCATTTTGTTTTCCAATTTTGTTTTATAAGCCTGTTTGGCCTTTAAGATATCCATTTTCAGCTCCTTCATAGCTGTGTGGAGAACAGAAACTGAATCAGATTTAAAAGCACTTCTGCAAACTACATTTTACAGATTTTGTGACTCACGACCTGTTATTTGGAAAAATCTTAACCCTCTTTCAAGGTATCATCACATCCCTACAAAAGGTTACATAAGAACAGATTACATCTGTTAGCTAATCAAAATCCCCACCACATGCCTCTTTAAACATATTCCAGTCTGTATTGTTGTAACAATCCTGCAAGCACTGTACAGACTCCTCTGTCCAGATTTTTGTGTCCTTCACAAAAACTTTTCCCCTCTTTAAAACAGTTTTGTACTTATGTTGGTAAAAGGTGGATACAGTTGTGATCACCGTTGCCCAGAGGGGGTAGAGCAAATGCTCTATATGCGTTCTTCACTGACCCATAACAGAGGTCAAGCATTTTATCTCCTCTTGTGGGGCAGGATATGTACTGGGCAAAGTTGGGGAACGTCTTTTTAAGGGAAACATGTTTAAAATCTCCCAGTACAAAGTTTGGTGCTTCAGGTGAGAGAGATTGTAGCCTCTACACAACATCAGAAATAGTTCTACAGGCAGATGGTGTGTTGGCTTTTGGATGAATATAAACAATAGCTACAAAGAGTTGAGGAAACTCATGGGGCAAATAAAAAGGGCGCAGGGGTATTGATAAAAGTCACAAGTCGGGAGTGCAGATGCGCTCTCTCAGTCACAGAGGTGCAGTATCTCTGATTGATATAGAGACACACCCCTCCACCTTGGGTTTTCCCCGTTACCTTTGTGTCTCGGTCCAAACGGTGGGGTGCTCCGAAACCGATGACAGCCAGGCTTTTATCCAGGTAGTGTTCTGTTAACTGGGTCTCAGTGAACGCCATCACACAGCAGTCTTTAAAATCCTTTTGGTAGCTCATCCATTTTATTCTTGAGGGACTGGACATTTGCCAGAATCAGTGAGGAAAGTGGGATCCAATTAAGCTGCAAAGTGTAGTGCCAGAAAAAAAAATACTAATTGCAGTTTCTTAACATTGAGTAAATAGCTTGAACTTATATGTTGTGCTATCAAGCCCGAGGACTCCAAATCATTTTACATTATAGTTATTCAAAAAAGTTGTAAGCTACCTTGTAGCCACAGCTGCCCAGTGTCAGACTGACAGAAGTGAGGCTGCTATGCACCGACTCCACCAAAACCCAACGACCATCAACAGGCAAGGAGGTGCAGTGTTCATCATTCCAAGAACCAAGACTGATGTGTGTTTGAACCATCAACCCACTGGTCACACAACAACTCCCTACTAACACTCGTCGATCTGAACTGTTGAA